AAAAAAAAAAAGAAAAAAGAAAAACACAGATCTAGGTGGCATCTGAACCCAGTGAGTAGGACACTGGCCACATACACCAAGGCTGGTGGGTTCGAACTCAGCCCGGGCCAGCTACAACAATAACAACAACAAAAAAAAAACAGCCAGGTGTTGTGGCAGGCGCCTATAGTCCCAGCGCCTTTGGAAGCTGATGCAAGAGAATCGCTTAAGCCCAAGAATTGGAGGTTGCTGTGAGCTGTGATGTCACAGCACTCTACCCAGGGCGACAGCGTGAGACTCTGTCTCAAAAAAAAAAAAAATGGGCAACACCTGTGGCTCAGTGAGTAGGGCACCCGCCCCATATACCAAGGGTGGTGGGTTCAAACCCAGCCCTGGACGAACTGCAACCAAAAAATAGCCGTGTGTTGTGGTGGTCGCCTGTAGTCCCAACTACTCCCGGAGGCTGAGGCAAGAGAATCACTTAAGCCCAGGAGTTGGAGGTTGCTGTGAGCTGTGTGACGCCACGGCACTCTACAAAGGGCAACAAAGTGAGACTCTATCTCTACAAAAAAAAAAAAAAAAAGAAAGAAAAAGAAAAAACATAGATCTAGAATATAAGATCCATGAGTGCAGGGACATCTAGGAGTCTGGCTTGTACCACTTGTGCCTAGGACACCACTTAGCCGAAAGCAGACGATACTTACTGAACTTAAAAATCTGTCATATATGCTTTGATTAACAACCCAATTATACATATATTACTTACTTCAGGCAGCAAATCATGACTCCTTACCAATAAAACACAAACCAAAAGAAAAAATTTAGTATATCAAAGCAGTCTTTTATAATTTTTATTTTTGTGATTTAAAATTTGATCTTCCTTAATGTGTATGTTGATGTCTCCTTAAAAAGGTTAACTTTCTTTGGAATGACTGATGATTTCTATAAACTATACATACCATACAAGAAATGGTTAGAAGTGCAAAATCTCAAGTGGAAACCTAATAATTACATGTATATGTAAAAATAAAAAAATTTTTAAAAGATAAACTTAAGCACACACAAAAAAACAGAAGTGCAAATTCTTAAATAGTTACTGGTAATAGTGACTGTGTCTTGAAGGGGAAAATAACCTACAGATGCCAATAGATGCTTGTCCCTCAAAGAAAAATGAAATTTTTAAATTAGATTGACTTAACACTCAGTAATAACAAATCAAACTTTAACCTTCAGTGTTCCATTTTCATAAGACCTAAACTATAGCTGATATGACAAATAACTGACTCTCAGTGGGCAAAACGTGCCTTTTGTTGTTGTTGTTAAGCAAAAGCAAATTTTAGAAATCATTTTATTCGGGTCATTTTCAAATACACATTTTCTTTTGGTTAACAGAGCAGTAAGTCGTATCACACTGTTAGCTATTCCCAAGTGAATGCTCCCTAAAAAAGGAATGAAAAAAAAAAAAAAAACAGGGAGGAAAACACACAGAAAAGTTATAGCAACCTATTCGCCAAAGGACAGGCCAAGAATATAACAGGCATTGGAAAGAGCAAGTTGTAAGGCACCTTATTCTGAAACTGCAGATCGCCAGGAGACTGATTTCAAACAAACTGGGAGGAATAGGTAAAATACAACCCCCCAAGTGCTGTTACAACAAACCACTCCGGAAGCAGATGCTGGCGGCACTTAGGGGTCCCCTTCGTCCCGCTCATACCAAGTATCTACAAGCCACTAACCTTCGTTCCAGCTGAGCACAAATCACATTAACTGGGGAAGTTGGAGAGACTGAGGGACACATACACACCCTTCGCCTCAGGGCTGTACACAGTTCTCGAATCCTCCGGAGGCCAAAACTCAGGAGTCGCTGGAACCTCTCACCTATACTCTCCCTGCTTTCTGATGCTAGAGCGAAGAGAAATGCCACAGGACACGCAGGAAAGGGAGGAACCTCTCCCTTACCTTGATGGCTTTCTCCATGTCGCTCTCCTCGGACATGCTCCGCAGGGCCCCCACAGGCAGGAGCGGCAGAGGATGCGCAGCTGCCTGGTCTCCCCGCGGCCGAGGGAGCAAAAGGCTCGGACCTGGGGCGCCTGGCCCTAGAGGAGACAGGCAGCAGCCTCCCCTGGGGACCGGCGGGGATGAGGGCCCCGGTGCTGGCCCAGCTTCGGTGGGCGGCTCTAGACAGGCGGCAGCAGCGGCAGCGGCGGTCTCTGAGGACAGGCCTTTGTGTTGGGCCCCGCACTGCCGCCTCTCAGCCTCATCCCCTGCCGGGGAGGAAGGCTCCCGGGGCAGGGCGAGGCGGGGAGGGCCCCGGCTAGGGGCGCTGTGTATTGGTCTCACAGGGCGGCCGCTTAGGCCCGGGCTCGCCAGGTCCTAAGGAAAAGCCTGCGCCTCCGCCTCCGCCGCCGACAGCGCCGCGAAGCAGAAGCCGAGCCTGCCGCCGCTCCCGCCGCCGCTTCAGCGCCACACATCGCCGGGACACCAGCGCCGGGCAGCCCCGCCGGCCGCCCGCCTGCCTGCGCTTTACCACGCCAGAGTTCCGGGCCGCCCCTCCTACTGCCCGGCTCCGTGACCCCACAGCGCCACGCGCCCCTCGCGGCCTTCCGCAGGGGTTTCTGAGCCGCCCCGGAGCCGCGCACCCTACTTGCAGGCGCCTGCCTGGGCCTCCCCAAGGCGCGCTGCTCGCAGGACAGGCCCTCGGGCCTTCTGCTGTCCCCGCGCTGCGCTAATGACGTATGGGGCGTGGCCCGACAGGGCAGGGCCATTGGTTATCGCCGCCGGACACGTGTGGCTGTGCGTGCTTTGGAGCTTAGTTCTTTATGCTGGGGGTGGGGAGGGAGAGATTGTGAGTGTGTGTGTGTGTGTGTGTGTGTGTGTGTTCAACTCGACAGTCTCACTTTGTCGCCCTGGGAGAGATTGTGTGTGTGTGTGTGTGT